CTCGTGGACATTAGGCGTTCTTATTCCTGCAGTCATCACGGGAAACACTGTTGGACCCCATTTATTGAGTTTCCTATACTATCTTCATGTTAGGCTACCCGTGCATAATCGGCCTCATTGAGGCCGTGCTGTTCGTTTCCATGCCGCTGTACCCGAAGATCGGATTAAGCACACAGCTTCTCAGATTATGGCTTTTGTCAAGATAGTCCAGATGGTCAAGATGTACCCATTTAGGTTTTCCACGTGGGATCTGGCTATCATGTTCCAGCTAGTCTCCTATGCTTCCAATGGTTCCCGAGTCATTTTCCACGTGGGAGATGCATAAGGCATCCTACAGGTTGGATGGAGTAATTTCAAAGAAAATTCCAGTTTCATTTATTAAATTCACGTGCCAATCCCCCCCCAGTCCACCAGGAACCCTCCCCGTCAAGTGCGTGCCTAGTTGACCTGATCTATGTACTTGGAAGTAGGTCTCAACCCCAGTCCACTCTTCTCGTATGCCATATCAACCATCTTCATTTGGTTGAGGGAGTCTTGTCTGTCAACCCAGTACTGAGTCGGACGACCCTTAACCCGGTTCACAAACTGCTCCAGCTGATACCGGAATGACATCCAGTGATCCTCACCATCAAGTTTGGAAATCTCGCCAGTAGCATCACGTGGCTTGTAGGCCTTTTGCGATCTCTTCTCGGTCCACTTCTTGAGAACCTTGTTGCTAGCTTTGTCACGGATCTCAAAAGATTCCTTGACATCAATCCGATGCCAGAAGACAGCGTGAATCCAACCATTGATTGTCACCTCGCGTGTGACATACTTTTGCTGGGAATCAGGGAGAGTGTCATCCGCCACTTCAACTTTCTTGTGTGTAACTGTAGCGTAAGAAGGGTGCCAGATACTTGGGCCCTGGAGGGTGCTAAACGCCTCACCGATTCCGCCATTAGGGAAGCGGAATTTGGTCTTAAACTCATAGTCACAGTCGTGGTGGACACCGTCGGTGAAGGCCTTAGTATCGGCGACCAAGCACTCCTCAGGCTCGGCGTCGAAGATAAGGCGCAGCGCGGCGAAATTGTAAGTGCCCATTCCCATCATGGTACCACCCGCAAGGTGGTGCTTGAAGTGGATGTGGTCCTTGGTAACGAACCACCAGGGGATCATGGAGTATGTATCCACATGGACCACATCAGCGGGAGTGATCAGTGACCGGAAAATAGACCAAATGGGGTGGAAGCGATAGTGGAAGGCTTCAAGCATGACCGGTGCATTAGGCAAATCGAATTCGGGCAAGTTGAAAAGTACCTCGGCTTCCTTAGCATTGGACACGGAGGGTTTTTCAAGAAGAACATGCTTTCCGGCTTTGATGGCCTTCACGGCCCATTCAAAGTGCAGAGCATTAGGCAGAGGAATGAGAATCACATCAACATCGGGATCGTCGAGGATTTCTAAAATAGAGTTAATAACGTGAGTTTGGGATGATAAATGGTGGAGATCCGGCACTAACCTTGATAGGTATCCCTAACAACTGGAATACCGTTGCTCTTCGCGAACTCCTCGGCTCGTTTTCGGTCACGGGCCGCCACAGCATAGAGGATTACTTCGGGATGCATCTTGGCGGGAATAGTCAGGGTCATGCCACTGCCATTTGTCAGTGCTAAGATACACCATCTAACTTCTAGGGCACTCACGCTGAATTCGCGGCTCCCAGTATACCAAAATTAAGAGCATCTTTGCTCTTCTCAACCTTGGGTGGATCAAACGCCCACCAAAGACGCATCAATTGTCCAACAGACATCTTGACTTTCAAGCTTGTATAGAGATCACCGCGCGAGAGTTGAGGCGCTTTTCTGTCTTAAGAAATTTCACGATAGATTTGCTGGTCCAAGGAAAAAGGAGAAATAAAACTATAGCACTTAATGCTGTTGAATACTGTGTTTACATTTACTTTTGACCATCGGCCTTCTGTAACAATGTCGCTATCTGATAAGAAAATAACTTGACGCCGAACCTTTGAATAGCGAAATATGACCGAAAACCCATCGAAAACAGATGAGACGCAACCTGGAAAGTCTAGAATGCTGATGTAACAAGTCGCCGATAAATTGGCCAATAGCGTCGCGAATAAGCCGCCGAGAGATTAGCGAGGGATTGGCGAGGGAGGCTCTTGATAGGCAATTCAACTTCGTTGTTCTCGCGATGCTACCCCCCCGTGTGTCACAACCTTGGATTTCTACTCAGAACGATTTCGAATTTATAATCTACGTGGCACAGCCCCCTGTCTACGGACTTACCAATCCCCTCTAATTACAGATGCAGCTTAGCAGCACCGATTTCAAAGCACCATGTCTCTTCCCTTTCCAATGTTAATTTAAGTAATTCCGTTCGTAGCATTCACATCCTTCAATTCATTCCAAACAATCATTCTACCAGTTCCTCACCTGATCCCCAACTTTACAACCCTCAAAATCACACAATGTCCAAGACACTTGCTATCTTCGGTGCCACCGGTCAACAAGGCAGCTCCGTCCTGAACCATGTCCTGAACGACCCCGAGCTCTCCCAACAATACAAAATCCGGGCCATCACCCGCGATTCCACCTCCGAGAAGGCCCAGCAATTGAAAGAGAAAGGCGATATTGAAGTTGTTGATGGTGACGTGGCCGACCCCGCCTCCCTGGCGAAAGCCTTGGCCGGTGTGCACACTGTCTTTGCCATGACCACACCTGACATTAGTCCCGACGCCTTCAACGTCGAGGTCGGTAATGCCAAGCGAATCGCCGACACTGCCGTGGAGCAAGGTGTCGATTATTTCATCTGGAGCACTCTACCCTCAGTTCGCGATCTCTCCAACGGCAAATACATCTCCGTCGTCCCCTTCGATGCCAAGGCCGCCGCCGAGGACTACATCCGCACTCTTCCAATCAAGAGCGCCTTCGTCTCCCTCGGCTCGTTCATGGAAAACCTCCAGGCCCAGACTTTCTTGGCTCCCAAACAAGCTGCCGATGGCACTTATGTCCTTGCCCGTCACACCTCTCCAAAGGCCCAGTTCCCCTTGATCGACGCTGTCGGTGACACTGGCAAATTCGTCGGCGCTGTCCTCGCCGAGCCCGAGAAGTTCCAGGGAAAGCGACTCCACTGCGCCACAAAATTGTACACTGTCGAGGAGATCGCGGCCCTGTTGTCCAAGAGTTCCGGCAAGACCATTGTCGTCCAACAGATCTCCACCGACGAGTTTAAGGCAGGCTTGCCTTTCTTCCAGGATGTTTTCGCGGAGGGATTCAGCTTCATGGATGATTATGGATATTTCGGACCTGGCTCCGAGGAGTTGGTTGCAGAAGCTGCGGCTGTCGCGCGGGGCAAGCTCTCTACTTTCGAGGAGTACTTGGAGAGACACCCATTCCAGCTTGCATAGATAGATAACGGTTCCAAGGGCTGGTATGCCCCACAGGATGCAGATTTCCCATAGAATTCAAAATTCGAATACATGCATGAATTTAATCTCTCACTGATTCAGCCTCCTGGTAGTAAATATGAATTAACTTCCGTTTTCACTATATCTTTCTGCTACTCTAGCTGCCCATTCAGCTTTAGCTATAGTCATTGCCATTTGAACGTGAAAACTGGGGACTTCCAGGGTGGAGCTTCGCGGGCCGTGCCGAGGGTTAACCACTCCGTGGACGTCGGGATGTTCCAAGGTTAGCGAAGGACAGAGATTGCGATTCGCTCAAACTGTACGGAAAAGGGCACTTGTTGAGCAGTACAAGTCTTAGTGACCCGTGGTTCAAAAATCCAAGAAACAACAGGGTACGGACATCAAAAATTAAAGGCGTTGAAATGCCTTGAAGACCTCGGGCACTAATTCCTGGGCGAACAGACACCTTCAGAGCAGCGAGATGTCAAAACCTTTTTGTGCAGCAATGCCCTGAAACGTAGTGAAAGGGGTTACAAACCGCGGGTCTACGCGAGGCTGACTTGTCGCTGTGTTAACGCTGGGTTTGCAACATACCAAATTCGCGCCAAGCCTGCTTCTCATTGGTCTGGTACTTGGCCCTTCACGTGTTTCGCTGTTCTCACGTGGTCGCCTCTACGGTGCAGACGTATCTTTTCCTACGAGGTTCATCCTGGGCTCTCTTCCAATTCCTACTGGCCTCTTTTCTTTTTCTCTTCGTCTGGCGCGTTATAAATAAGGCGGTGTTGAGTAGACTCTGACTTTCGGGCACCATGACTCCTTCCTTGCCTAGCTATCGAGCTTCTTTAGGAGGCATCTAACACGTAAAGATAGAGAAAACATAAGCGGCAGACAATTTTTACTCTCGTGCTATTTGGAATTATGTTGTAAATATCCATACAAGAGTTTTTAAACCGACTGGGTGTTAAAACCACATGGGAATTAAAAACCTCAATCATTAGAACCCAAGGGTATTATAACCACGATCCAATTTTGGCCATGCAGTCCCCCAGAAGTATGTATGAACTTCCTACTCTAGTTTTATAGGCTCATTATGGTTCCCCCTTTCTCTATGTACTCGCGGGAGACAGGAGCCTTACGGAATAATGCTAATTCATGACTCGACACTGTCTATTTCCGAAGGTGTTTAACAGCAGATGTAAAACCATTGTAGAAGGAGTCTTTGCATTCGCATAACGGTGTAGGGAAACCTAACTAAATAGGGAAAACCTAAACCAAGACAAATGAAGAACCCTATCCAATCCAACATCCGAATTATCTCGCCACCCATTCTCTGGAAATAGGCGTGTGTAATTCGGATATGGTAGCAAAGAAATATGTCACTAGACAACAATCATGGCGTTCTTCTCAGATCTTACATCGATAGGGTTTTGCCGATACTGCAGCGCCATGGATATCCCACATGCTAGTGGCTGAGATTCATTTCTACATCCATGGACGTCCTCAATATGTCGCCTGGAAACATTCTGTAAATATGGATGTCAGCCAAGCCGCTGCAGACGTGCAAGAGGGAATCTTCTATTGTTCATGGTTTAAATCACCTCTTTATCCTATCTTGCTTATTATGCATTATCTGTTGTCGAATCCACAGCAATCGCGCCTCGAAATCTGTTCCGCGGTTGCTGTGAGGGTAGGGAATTTCAACTGGGGAGGGTACACCTAGAAACTCGCATAGTGGCTCCCAGCCCTCCGTTGGGTCCATTACCAATAGACGATGGGCAGGAATGGTTCGCTTCACTCGTTTGATATGCTCCTTGAACTGCGTAATCTTTGCGGCTTTGTCATCAAAACCTCGCAGCACCCCATCGCGGATAATCGCGGCCGCCATCTGCTGACCCTTCCGCATTTGCTCTGGCCATTCTAAATCCGGTCGCATCGGCCAATCTTGGATAGTTTTTGAAACAGAGGTGTACCATGACTCGGGATCCCGTATTGTCAATATAACTTTAGCATCAGGATACTCCGCCGCAAGCTCCTCCCAAAATTCAGCCGCTGGCCAGTCCACTGCGGCGTCATAGCCCGAGAATGCGCTATCCCAGTCACAGGTGCGGCTCATGTAGGCATTGGTGAATAGACCGGGCTTTTGCCCTGGGTCAAGTAGCATTGGTTGCATATGATGACAAGTGAAGCTATTGAGAGAAAAGAGTTAACTGGGCTTGAGCTATTCAATATCTTCTCGTCACGAATATCTGGCAAGTTACCCAAGTGTCTCTAATGCATGGCAGAGACTCAACGTGCCTGTTCGGCCCCAGCCTGCCCCTATGATCTTGAGAGGGGCCATTTCGAAGCTGTGAAGGTAAAAAATTAAGGAGAGAGAGTTTGTCTAACCATAAAGAAAGATGAGAGAAAAACGAGAGCCGCTTATTAAAAGCACAGAAAGGGGTGAATGCATCTAGAAGCAAGAGGTTGTCGGATGCCCCTGAAATTAACTATATACATCATGGAACCCTCGAAAGCTTCTTTCCAGCTTCGGCTTGCAAAATTTAAATCCCCTGCCACAACATCAGGTAGTGTTTCTGTGCCAACCATGTCGTCAAAATGTTCACAAGTTTCTTCATAAGGGCATACATTCTCCCTTACAAACAAAAGCTACAATAGATGAATATGGGATTCAGACCTTCCGTCCATCCCATTGGTTAACCCGACGATCCACTTTGTGATGTGGCGACAGGATCGAACTCAATCTTTTCTGCTTCCTTCCATCCATTCACCTATCGCAACTTGGCTATACCTGGATATTTTACCCTTATTACGTTAGTTACCCCGTGGATATAGAGCAAGAACATGAAAGAGGGATACGTTGTTAGTTTGCCGATAGAACAGTTGGCCATATCAGCGACAAAAGATTTACAGGGAGATATTTAGTTCGCGCGGTAGCATTCTAGGAATACACACACCTGTCGGCATCTCTGTCGAAGTGTCATCATGCGGTCTTTTTTGTTCTGAGGTCTAGGAGGTGGCAGTATCGGTATACGGCTTAGGAGGTCTGGTCTGGTCGTGTCTTGGGGGTCATTGCTTTGTCTGCTGTGTCCTGCACTCTGCGAGTGTGGTGGTTTTGTCCTCTTGTGATCGACCCGTCTGCTTGACAGACTGCCAGCGAGCATCCCTATCTTTCAATACCTAATCGAAAAACACATTTGTACGACTATGCCTAATGTAAGGGGTGCGCTGTAACATTTTTACATTAGGTGGTATTTGTGGTGGTACAACGTTAATCATTTATCAATGGCAGTGTAAGACCCTCTGGAGAGAGTTTGAAGATCCGAAAATATTAATTTCATGTTATCCTTACTATGAAATTCAATTTGGAAATCATTACTAGGGCCTTGGCAGTGGGCCGCTCCTTTATACAAGGTAGCTCCAATATGTTATTTTCAAAGCTCTTTGCCCTTGCCGCTTTGAGCGCCATCACCCCGTCCATCGCGGCTCCTGCTCCCGCATCTGATGCAGCTGCAACCATTGCAACCTCCAAAGCTGCAGACGGAGAGTACTGCACTGAGACCCTCTCTAGTTACAGTGCGGATGAATCCATATGGGCCAGTTTTCGCTTCTGCATTCGCGTGTCTGACACTGGGGCTGAATTCATCGGAAAGGTCGACAAGGCCAAGTACTATTGGGGTTTGGCTTGGTATGGTACCAAAAACGGTTATCCGTATAAGTGGAGTTTCAAAGCCCGCAATCGGGACCCAGGTTGGTACGACTTACCCGGTAATCAGGGCTCAACTTGGGGTCGTGGAGAGGCTTCATCGCCTGGGACGTTCAACGTGGGGCAAATTTCCGATACCATTACACCCGGCTCGCATGAGTACCACTTTCAATATTGGTGGAACCTACGTAGTGGGGTCCAGCAAGAGAGGAGGGAGAGAGTTGTATTCGTCAAGAGGAGCGAGCTCCCAAACTATCCATCTAGCGAGGGTTGATGCCTGAGGCACCAAGGCTCCGACCACCACAACACACCCCCCCAGGCTCAACAACCCGAGGGGATCTCTCTCACAATTTGCTTCCTGCAGTTTAACTTACTTGCTGCATAGCCTCTTTTGCCATCATTACCTTATTCATGCGCTTAAATATCTCTCTTCCGAGTGGTTTTGTAAGCGCATCGGCAACGTTTTCTTCGCTTGCGATTAATATCAACTGTATGATACCATTTCGCACTGCGTCCCTGACAAAGTGATATCTTCTGTTGACCCACTTCGCTCCTTTTGTGTATGTGTCGCTCTTCATTATCGCGACTGCGTTATCACTGTCTGTGTGTAGCATGATTGGAAGTGGTTGTTTCTCTCCTAATTGCTCGAGTATTTTGAGTAGCCAGTAGCACTCCCTGATTACTGCGTCAAAGGCGATGTACTCTGCTGTGGAGCTAGTTGGCAAAAGAGGAGAAGTTGTATTCTGTACCAGCCACAGGGAAATGTCATCTCGGTCGTGGACAGGATTACTCGCGCAAATTCGGCCACATCTTCGATATACATGGTCGCTTTCGGTCGAGGTTGGAGGGAAAGCTTTTCTTCTTTCGCCACTATCGCAAGCACCTGTGATGGTCAGTCAGATTTCATTCAGATTTCAGTCAGATTTCAGTCATTTCCATATCCCTTCGGATAACTCACGTCGCGGATTTTCACTTGAATGTCTTTGCTAAGTTCATGTCCAACCTCGGACTTGTAAATCAGATGCCACCATTTCCATAAAGATTCAAGCGAGGATTTGTTCTTCAATCCTGGGTTGCGACGACCATTTTTCCCCCGTCGCCGCCTGCAGCGCCACGAGAAGAAGGCCTTCAGGAAGCGCACCGTCTTTTCGGTATCAGAGAGTTGGGATAGACATTCAGCTGGATCGCGCTTTGCACCTTTGCAGAACCTGTTACTGTCAGTGAGTTTGGCAGCGCAAGCAAAACACTCAAGCCATGACTCACTCTTCCCACAGATCCTGCGTCTCATCCAATCTCATTTGCGTTTTTGGGCTGTAGCGCTTCTGCCGGAGCTGAGAAACATCCAGAGACTCGGCCTCCTGGAGAAAGTACTCCGGGGAGAGTTGTTCATCTTCATTGTCAAGGCCCAGTTCATCCTGAGACTCCTCCTCCGACTCGGACTCGGATTCGCTGCTAGATTCGGGGTCGCTAGGCGTGGCGGAGAAGTCGTTGTCGGAGGCGTTGTTCGAGAATATCAGGGGCAAGCATGAGCTGGAGTCGCTTTCATAGTCGGACAGGACTGGGCGTGGGGGAGAGAGGCACGGCGATCGGACGTCCTGGAGCTGAAGAATCAACAGAAGAAGAAAGAAGAATCGCAGGAAGAGCGTATGAACGGCACTGAACGATGCTCGCACTTGGGTGACAGGGCCCTTATGAGATCGCCCCGAGATTGGTGGAAAGACTGCTGTAGAGACGAGGTGCATCGGTCGGGGCCATGGCAGTCGATATTTATGGAAACCCAAGGAAGGACGGTTTTCCAACAGAGGAGCCATTTTCGGCGCCCTCACTCCGCCGGGACGGTGGTGACGAGTGAGTGGACAAGGACCCCTTCGGCGCCTGCAGCACGAATGGACACGGGTTGGATCGACGGGCCCAGGCACCAGGCACGGCCAAGGCGAGAGATGGGTGGCAGTAAACCAGGACGGCCGTGGGCTTTGGTGCACGTGACGCCGAGACCGTATACGGTGAGCGAGCGGCCTAAAACGGCGTCAAAAGCGGCCGTTTTTGGCCTCCCATTCACCGTCTCAACCTTATTATTAGTGTTAAAAAAGGCTTATCAACGGTTATCGGCAAACGCTGAAATAAGGTCGAAACGTGGTTGTTGAGATACTAGTATAAAATATATTGCATTTACTATGTGTCTTGGGGTGGCCAGCTCGCTTGTGAAATACGTTATTTATAGCAAACCTAGCGAATATCACTATAGCGTTCGAATTCTACCTTGTTAGTGTATTTGTTTCGTTACGCGCTCAGTAAAATGAGAATGATTAACAATTTTATCCAACTTTGCTAGGAACGGCACGCTAGAATTACGTATTTGAAGGTTGCTACGGTTAGCCTATGGGGAGGGTCACGTCGTGTTCTAATTCCTATTTGGGATGCTAACACGACCACAACTCTACAAATATCGCTCAAATTAAAGGGAAACTGTACATATCAAGTACGTAAACTTCACAAAGTTGTACCATGCTAACTAGTCTTGTTTATGTCTCATTTTGCCTTGTAGATTCAATCCGATCCATTTATGCAAGGCCTCCACTAGGTAGATATCAGAAACATGCTCGTAACCATTCGCGCTTTTGTATCACTTAAAATTAAATGTATTATCCGTGATAAGACCTCTAGTCCACTTACCACGGGTTGTGCGGTGCTGGTGGCCTTGCATACTCACTCGGTTGACACTTTTGAAGGTCAGGCAGCTCCAAAATATATACGCTGCTTGAATACCCTTTCTGATAAAAGCTGAATCAAACAGAAAGTTCTCACACAGCGCTTTTTTACTTACTCTGCAAATCATGGAAGTCCTCAGCATCCAATCGAATTTGGTTTCCACACCCCGTCACCAAGCTCTAGAACATCTCTACCTTACATCGAAGAAGCAAAAGGTTGATGTTAAGACAACCGAAATTATCCAAGATGAGAAGGATACATGCACAACTGAAGAAAAACACGTACCAAAGCTATGGCAAAACCCCCAAACCTACGCGGTGCAGGCTCTCCGTAGCCCCTGGCACCGGACCATGCTACGCCTTCAAAGCTCACTCTTCCACACCTCAATTGACTTTTTCCGCCACAAAATGAATTACGAGTACCTTGTCGTCCCTCTCACCACGGGAAGCATCAGTTCACCAATGGGCCTGGGCTCTGACTCCCAACCCGTCAGTATTCAACTGAACAACAACCCAACCTACCTAGCCGACTCGCAGCAATTTCTCCTCGAATACGCCCTTCGGCTCCAAGAGGTGCCAAAAGGCGTCTACTATGCCGGCACCTCTTGCCGCGGGGAAGACCATGACGCAACTCATCTCAACCAATTCTGCCACGTGGAATGCGAACTTCTCGGCGGCTTGGATGCGGGCATGAATGTTGCGAACCAGTACATTATCAACCTCACCCAGTCGCTGCTTGTGTCTCACGGACCCGAGATCGCTCGGTACGCTGGTACAACATCGCACATGGAACAGCTCCTCAAGCTCTACAGCACCAACAACAACTCCTTCCCTACCATCACCCTCTCCGAGGTGCTGGCACTACCGGAACTCACAAACGAAATGTGGGAATTCGTCGTTCCCGGAAAACCAGCATATGGACGTCTTCTCACGCGCAAAGGCGAACAAATGCTTATTGCCAAGTTTGGGGGAGCGTGCTGGCTGACGGAAATGGATCATTTGAGTGTGCCATTTTATCAAGCATATGTACCAGGCAATCCAACGCAAGAGGTTGCCAAAGCCCTGTGTGCGGATTTCTTGCTGGGAATGGGTGAGGTTCTTGGGTGCGGGAATCGGCATGTTTCGATGGATCAGGCTATGCGTGGCTTGCGGGAGCATGGTGTTAATCCTGAAGACTACAAGTGGTATTTGGATATGCGGAAAGAGAAGGAGTTGGACACAACTGGGTGGGGGATTGGGACGGAACGTTATATGTGCTGGGTTTTGGGACATGACGATGTGCGAGATGTGCAGATTTTCCCAAGATTGAAGGGACTGGAGTGCGCGCCCTGATTTTACTGATTGTGTAATTTACAGCTTTTGCTCTACTTGGGTGGGTTTCGCGGCCATGTTTTTCTCATTTTTTATTTGTTTTTACCTGCTTCTCAAAGGTTTCTTGATTGTTTGCTTTATTCAGTTAGGTACATGTACTATGGATTTAGTATAGGATGAGACATAGATACAAAAGAACAAAGTGTTGCACTGAGGCATTGCTGCTTGCTTGCCCAGGCAGTTTGTCAGGCGTCGCTTTGGCCTTTTGTGGTCAAATCGTCGTTTCTTTGGCCCCATATGAAGCTATATAGATAGCTTCATGGTGGTAATAGTGATCTCCACGATATTCATCGTTCTTTGCTCCCTCTCCACACGTAGATGCTACGTGTATCATACAAGGGTGGAGGTACACCGCTAGCTACCTCATGAGGTTCATGCAGCACTGTCCAGCTCCGATGGCTTAGAAGTACCGTCTTTCTTTCTGGTACTGCGCCTGCAAGGACGAGGAAACAGATTATTCTGCGAAAATTCATGAATCTTACGATGATGTTCTTTCTGTAGATCCGTAATCGATCCCGTTAGTATGAAGGTCAAGTTTTTGATTTTTAGAAGGAAATCCAATGCGGTTAGGGCAGCATACCATGTTATCTTCAGAAATTAGCGCTGGAGTACAACGAAATTAGGAAGATAGGAAAACATATATATATGAAATAACATACCAAGTCGACTAAACACCCGCGTACAACCCAGTGACTCCGCCGCAGAGCATTTGATCATCGGCCGATGAGACCTCATATGCCGTTGACAATCCTTGCTTGATGAGAACCCGATTTTTGACCAGTGACAGTCGTTTTCCTTACAAAAGTAAGTTTTCTGGTGGGAACGGTAATGTTTTCGTAGGTCACAAGCCCGCAGAAAGACCCGATTGGAGAGGCATCCGGAGTAATTACAGCGCCAATCGCCATCAGTGTCTTGGTAGCCTATTTCAAAGATATCGGGGGGTGTCCAGGGTAGTGGATTGGTTTGGGGTGGAGGAGCCAAAGAGGTCGATGGGGATGGCGAGAGATGCGGCGGCTCAGAAGAATCTGCCACAAAATCGAGACCCTCTTCATTTAATTGGGACCAGAGGAGATCGAAATCCGGGTCCAGGTGCGATGGTGGGTCAACAGGGTTGGTGACATCGTTCAAGGTGACCAATTCATCTGGCCACGAAACGCCAGAGGGCCATGAATCGCCATGGTTATGTTGGTCCTGGGAGAGCTCGAGAAAGCACAGAGAGTCGAAATCAAACATATTCGTTGCTGCGAGTACAAGGATACCTGTGATAATATTTATAGTATTGCATTATAACACGGTTTCATCCTGAAGATGTTAATCCCCGGGCACCCGACGGAATTCTCCGCCTGTCCAAACAAGGAAAATGCTTTGAATAAGCGGGCCAGTCCGTGCGGAGTAATATGTGGGGATTAGTTTATTGGTTTAACACTAGCGTGAGCTTCGTTAGCCACAGCTTGATTATGAGCCTTCTCTTAGTTCTCTTGACTATCTATTCAATTAAACCGATTATGCAGGGCCCGTCATTCGACAATCCTTCAGTCTGCCAACGATGATCTTTTTCCTTGATAGTGATCAGTGCAATATTGACGATATAAACCATGTCTACCCCATATCGTCTTGCTTATCGAGGTCGAACTTACATGTTAGCATTTGGCTGGAGAAAACATGACCCCCGAAGTTCAATACTCGCCATGCTCCGATTCAACCGATTCATTGGAGAAAGATAATAATCCAGAAGAGTGCGGATTCCTGTTCCCATCGAATAGAGGCCCCAAGTGGGGGACTCGATCCAACCTCTGGCGCCAGGCGCTATCTGTTACGATATTCGTCCTGCTGGCAGTGTTGGTGATTCTCAATGGTATTCTACTATTCTGGATAAAATCGTCATCTCTCAGTGATCCAAATGGGCCAAGCCAGTCGAACTATTTTCGTCAGTATCGAATCACTATCTCTCACTGAAAATTTTGCTGAAAGGCGCAGTCTACTCCCCATCCGGCGAGAAAAAGCATCCGGAGATAGTGGAAAGAATATACCATGATTACCATGATGATTTTTTGAGTTTCAATACAACGGTATCTCAGCAACACTGGCGAAGTCTTTTCCCTGGTGAGTCTCGTTCCTCCTCTAACCCTACCTAGCTCATATCACTCACATGTTGGTGGCAAAATACAGTGGGAGAAGGCATGGTCGGCTTGACCGACCAACAAGTCATCGATATGGATGTACATCATTCCGTTCGTGGAGTGTCAGATCCGGATAGACACATTTATATGGTGGCTGCGTTTCACCAATTGCATTGCCTGGTGAGTTCCTGTTGCCCCGCTACTATAATTGAACAATTGACCTCTAACTATGGACCCTCCCATTTAGAGTCAAGCGCGATCGATCATCATGCATCTTTTCCAGGACCCAAAATACACGCTCCGTGAAGCCACATATCATCACACCATGCACTGCGTGGACATTGTACGACAGGCGCTAATGTGTGCTGCGGACTCCACACTCATCTGGAAGGAATATGACGTCAAATGGCCCGGCGAGGGAGGGACAAGGGTGTGTCGAAACTTCGATGCCTTGACGGAATGGGTGATTGACCATAAATATGTGTCTCAATCGTTTGACCCCGCTCTCTTGCCGCACACAGAATACTAAGATGTCGGCGGTTTTTCCCCTATCGGTTGCCGGGGGGAGGGCAACGGAGGGTGCAGATTGATTTGGCCCCCAAAGCAAGGTACTTTTGTTTTTGTACTAGTGCTGCATCATCCATGATAGCTAGATCATACAACATGGATAAGTCCGGAGTATTTACTATTTACCCGACCCAGTACGGAGTACACTATTAATCACTCCGTCGTACCCCTACTGCGGGTCTAATCCAAAGGACTAGTTCAATCCAAATCTTGCATTCATATGCTTTTTATATAGAATACAAAACACACTTCATTAATCCTGTAAGCATACCCTGCCATGCCAGCTAAGCGAGAACGCACGCTAATGCATCTTCACCTAATAGCCTATTTTGGGGTAGCCTCCTAGTCAAATCAATACAATGATTAATTAATTATACTGTCAGTATATACCGACTTCTTCATTAGGAGGGTTGAATGGTGTCCTATTCGATTATTTCGGCTTTTTCTATATTTAATTACTTTGAGTCAAATTTGAAAGAATACCTGTATTTATGACAGGTAGCTTATTATGCATAAACGTGGATTTTCTCGCCTAAGCTGCCACGGCACGGTATGTCGAATTAATATTTCTGTATCAAATAAGTATAGCCTAGTAGTGATAAAACTAACGATAAAAATGTGGTCTCGAGCAGTGGGTCAGATAAGTGAGACCTCGGAAACATTCTGAACAATGTGGTCAGAATATATAAGTTTAAAGAATCCCTAAAGTATTTGTATCCCATATAAAAGTTATACAGAGTACTCTGTACTCCGTACAAAGATTATTAGACTAAGCCTTTGCATTGGACCATGGTGTGCCCAGGGGGCAACATACCGGCCCGGGTAGATCTCCAACCCCGGGAAGGCTTAGCAACTAAATCCAGTACTTTTGCTTGGATTTTAGATGATAAAGGAAATGAACAGCTGGTGGAGGCCTTGCATAACTGTCAACCAGTAATTTCGAAGGGAAAAGAAAGTTATCGCGGAATCACGAAACTCCATTCATCCCGGCAGTATATCCCCCCACCTACACCAATGCCTCGGCACCGCCAGATTGACAACCTCTTGTCGCTTTTAATTTCAAATGGAAAATACCCCGCGATAATGCGAAAGATTTGCCCTGGGGCCTTGCATAACTGGAGACGGATTCCCCACCAAATCAACCTTGGAAGCCAAAAGAAGAAGTTACATCTGTTGGGATGGTTGCCTAAGGTTTCGGTATTTCAAGACGTTAACTAGGTAGTTCAGTCTGTCTCTTCTCCTAATCAACTCCCCTTCCTCCTTCTCTCTTTCTCTAGCTTACAGCTTGCAACATAACCCCCTGTCAAAATGCCCGGAACAACCCCTCATCCCCTCATCCACATCAATGCCTTCCCCGGTGCTGGAAAATTGACAGTCGCCAAACATCTTGTCGCCCTCTCAGCAAGTCTAAAGCTGATCCACAACCACCTTCTCATCAATCCCGCTGACGCTGTCCTCCATCGCACCCAACCAGGGTACCAGTCTCTTCGGCGCGCTCTCCGCACCGCTATCTTTACGTCCCTAGCAACTGAGCCTGCAACCTTCAATACAACCTATATATTCACCGATTTTCAAACAAAAAATGAACAAGGTGCCAGTGTGTGTGTAGAATACGCACAGGCCGCGAAGAATCGAGGGTGTCTGCTGATTCCGATTGTTCTGACGTGCGATGAAGATGAGAATATCAGGCGCATAACGCAGTTAGAGCGTGAAAAACATGCAAAGCTTATGGACGTGGAGCTACTGAGGATGTTTCGCAAGGGGGCACCGATTTTCGAGTTTAACGATAGGAAGGAGTTCCTGAAGATCGATGTGACTCATCTGGAGCCAGAGGAGGTCACGAGGATTATCTGGGAGCATGTCTTACAGTTTTATCCAGGTTTGAGCGGTGGGGAGTCTTGATGTTGAAGCTGCATTGTTATTCCCTCACTTTAAATGTGACAAGAGAGAAGAAAACGATGAATATGTATTATTTACAAACTTCTGAGGCTAGTAACCGACATAGGTAGCTAGTTTGGGGCCTAGCAAACAAGTCATCTTCCACTACCGCTCTGGGTGTTGCAACAGAATGAAATAGGAATTTCACAATTCGTCTATCTATTGACTAGCTAGATTGGTTAAATTGTCAAATACTCCGCGATTTCGCCTGCTAGTCGCCCAAGGCCAGCTATGTCCGTCACTTTTGGTCCCAGTTCCGGGGTGAGATATTCGGGGAGGGAATCGCAGAAGGTCGCAGGCTTAGGAAATGATGATAGATGAGGCGCACCTAAGAAGATGGTGGCATGCCCCTTTCGTTGAGGATGAACCTCAAGATGCGGACGTGATGCATCAGGGCCTAGCTCCCGTGATAGAACCTGGAGGATATTCCAGATTTGAAAGATAGTCTGGGAGTATTGTTGTAGCTCTGTGGAGAACAACCCAGTCTTGTCTGGTCGATGGATCTCGACCTTGATCAACCTGTCATCAACGTAGTGGAAACCTGCACGGTGACCGTCGCTTAAAGGACGGTAGGTGGTGGTGTGACTGTCATCTTTAAGGTCTATATCCGTATACTGCGGGGATATCAAGAGCGGGAAAACAAATGCCGAAGAGGTTTCCCCACAGGTTATGAATGCGATATCAGGCGCCTGGTAGAAACTTTGTACCTTCTGAATCACTCTTCTTAGTCGCATGAAGAAATCCACGAAGGGCTCAGCCTCCAGAGACAAGACGGGCTCTCTCGGCTGGGAATGAACCACGATCTGATTTGGAAAGGTTGGGTACTTTACCATCCCAGCTTTGATCTTCTCATCTTCGAAGATAGCGAGTTGGTTCAAGATCGGAATCGTCGACCTCGCGATACTAGCCCGCCCGGGGAGTTGTGAAGAATTGGCCGACGCCACTGCAAAAATCCGACTATTACAATGGATCGAGATAGACCCGGATATGTCCATTGCAATCACTCCACATGAGGAATCCGGGTAGAGCTCAGCAGATTTCAAAATTGCCTTCTCCACGGCATCATCCAGCTTGGTTCCTGACCGCGCTGCTGCTGCAGCTCTTCCAGCCACAGTAGCCTGGAGTATAGCATCGCCGCTTCCACTGCTATAGAATTGAGAACGTTGATAATATTAGTATGATCCCTCCCTTGGACGTAGCTATGTTCAATTCCCACGTACCAAACAACCGCCACCTGATCATCAGCATAGATCCCTGCGCCAACAATCGCCGTATCTCCGATTCGTCCTCGGTGCTTGAAAGTAACACCGCCAGTGGAATTGGCAGCCGCAAGATTGCCATAAATATCGAGGGCCACCGCACCCACGGTGCCATGATTTTCCACCAGCTTGTTCTTCTTCGCCTCCCAGTAGAGTCGACGGCTGTCGGTAGTAAAGTATGAGTTATCTACCATGTCCAAGCCGTTTGTCTCTGCTAGCTCATCGGCTGCATTCCCAACTATCAACGCCGGCGCCGGGAAATCGAGCATTTTGTGCGCCAGTTTGATGGGATTCTTGGTGCGCTGCAAGCCGCCTGCTGCTCGGTACCTACAGGTTCGACCGTCGATTACAGCTGCTTCTAACTGCAGCTTGTCAACACTTTTTATCCAAATTTGTAGAAAAAGAGAGGACTAGTGATGGGTGTTCACCTCGTGGAAGCCATCATTGTTGAGAGCAGATCCTTTGCCGGCGTTGAATTGGGGGTAGTCCTCTAAAGCAGATACTACTTCAGTGACAACTTGCAATGCACTTTCTCCGTTCCTTAATTTATCTTCGGCTCCATTGATCAAATGATGTAGGAAGGATTCGGTTTTCTCTTGGAGTTGAGATTCTCCTGCCCAAGAATCGGCAGCTCCAGCGTGGAGGACAATGCTGTAAGACATGTGATTTATCTAATGTTGATGGATAAAAGGCCTACAGGCAAAAAGAGCAGTGAAAAGCTATTCATCTAGGAGAAATCTCCTAACTTTGCCCTCTACGGTTTTGGCGTAGCCTCCAATAGAAACAAGCAAATACGACCCCAGTGATATTTGAATGCAAGGCCACCCACTACGTCGGTTGCATAAACCCCGAGCAAATCGGAAAAAGGCTAGAAAGGATGTACTAAGGACTGTAGCGAAAATATTGCTTCGACAATGCTGTCTAGAACGCCCCCTCCTGGTGCATTTAGATTGTCCCTCCAATTGTGCAAGGCCACCACTAGATGCGAAGATAGGATCTAAGCCCAGCAGGATAAATCCCATCAATTTTTTCCTCTTTGTCAATGCTTTAGAGCTATAAGATTCTTGAAGATCCCATAATTCCATTTCGTTAAATCAACATCAACGCTCTCTCATTCTCATCCTTTCGATCCTCCATTTCTTCCGTGCCTCATATCAAGATAAATTTGTATCACCGACAAGATGAAGTCCCAAACCGTCCTATCTATCCTTTTTGCTGCTTGCAGCGTCATCGCCGCTCCAATTGACACCCAGGTCAACGAACTGGCTTGCACCTTGTCCGGTGACATGGCCTGTGCCGGCGTTGTCGAGAAGCGCGAGGAGCCAGAGGTTAACGAACTGGCTTGCACCTTGTCCGGCGACATGGCTTGTGCCGGTGTCGTCGAGAAGCGCGAGGAGCCCGAGGTCAACGAACTGGCTTGCACCTTGTCCGGCGACATGGCCTGTGCCGGCGTCGTCGAGAAGCGCGAGGAGCCAGAGGTCAACGAACTGGCTTGCACCTTGTCCGGTGACATGGCCTGTGCCGGCGTCGTCGAGAAGCGCGAGGAGCCCGAGGTCAACGAACTGGCTTGCACTTTGTCCGGTGACATGGCCTGTGCCGGCGTCGTCGAGAAGCGCGAGGAGCCCGAGGTCAACGAACTGGCTTGCACTTTGTCCGGTGACATGGCCTGTGCCGGCGTTGTTGAATAGGTGCCATGATCTAGTGATAGGTAAGAGCCGAATCACCCTATACCACGTTCATTACTAAATGTTTCTAAAGATCAATTAGATGGTGAACTTATAACTTGAGGTGGCCGTTTGAGATTCGATGGCAGGTGAAAGTGATGGAGAGTGTCAATGTTCTTGTAAATAGAGACCAGTTACATTGTGATTCAGATTCTTGGACAAGGCTGCACATGTGAATGTTAGCTTCTTTATCCAATTCATTGCTCTCAAGCAGCTATGCAGATGTCTTCCTCTCTAGACCTGGTCTTTCAGTAACGAAATATTCAAATCTTACAGAAGTATAGGACTCTCAACCTATCTCCAAAATGTTTGGAGATTCAAATAATATTATATCAACTTTACATGTAACAGACTCACTGAGGGTTATAGTAAAGCACGTTGAGGACTCTGAATTATCACTTCTGAGGTTTTTGTGTAGATAAAACATCCCCCGGGGTCAGACTTCAGAAAGCGCTGCGTTTCATTATCAAGATATTTCTATCCTATTTGATTTGATGGGAAAATTGATAATCACACCAGCTTTCAGATTGTCTCAAGAAAACGCTATATCATCTTCTGACCAGTTCCATTTCCATCTCCGTATTTTCTTCCTCGTTGTCTGGCCCAGTCTGCTTACTGTAGGTTCCATTTCCAAGTTCTTGGACACTGATGCCTCTGAGGCTGAGCATAATTAATACCGTTGACAGCACACATAGTCCGAACAGGACGGTGAATCCCATTGAATATGCATTGACAACTATTGCAAGTCAGTATCATTTATTAGCTCTTGTTCCGGTATCTTAAAGACGAAAAATAAACAGCAGAGCTCAACTTCATCATACCTTTTGATTGAATCGAGTCTGGCAAAGTAGGTATCAACTCAACCTTCTGTCGTGCCTGCTCTATTGCCTGGAATTGTATAAATTTAGCTTATATCACGTCCCAGTTTTATGAGCAAAATAGGAATCTTGTAGTAAAAAGGGAAATATTACCAGGCATAATGCAGGTGGTACATACCTCTCGAGAGTTATCATCAACCTTCTGGTGTGCTAAAGAGAACTCGAAAGCATTCTGCAATGTTGTCGTCCCCAATGCAACAGCAACAAACACGCCCAATGATCTCATCATAATGAAGCACCCGTTAGCGACAGCATGGTCCTCCTTGGTAGAAGAATTTAGAAGTGTCAGAACCGTGCTGGGGGCCATCATTCCCACACCTAGGGTCGGGAAAATTAGAGCCAAATTATATATGTAGCCCGGCATACGAGTGTGATCTGAGGTTTGGGCGATTGCGAGGAAAAGACCCAGGACGCCGATTGCCAGTAGCACTTGGCTTCCGCGTAGAGTGTAAAGAGGGGTCTTCAGTCTAGCGATAACCGACGCTGTAATAATGCTAATGATAGTAAATGAGACCGATGGAATGATGAGATGAAGACTGGCTTGCTGGGACGACTCGAGGAGAACGGATTGGAAGAACAAAGTGGTATGATACATTATCTTGGTGCTACGTTAGTACACTTCAAAGAGCAATACAGGAGTCACGTACCATATAGTTGGTCAGTGAGAACATGAATCCGGTCACCATCAGGCTTCTTGTCGGGCTCGAGGTGAAGAGCTGGAGAGGTAAAATGGGTGTTTTTGCTTTCTTCTCGGCCATTATAAAAAGCCCCGTTGAGGCCATCAGAGATATGCCGAAAGTAATCACCATAGGATGACTCCAGGGAAGGATGTTTCCACCAGTAGTCAGAAAAGCAAAGAGCAGTATCAAAGTGGTCAACTTCAGTATGAACAGGTGTTAGAGGTGGCACTATGAGAGAAAGGGGTTTGGTACATTACTTACTAGGAGCACAGATCCCCACCAATCGTAGTTATTCAGAGATACCAGGCTTTGACTGCAGTTGAAACCATTAATGGTCATGAAGCGAGCGCGAGATGGAATAGAGACCACCAAGAGGATGAGGGCTGTAGCTGCGAACGGGATTTGGGCCTGTCACCGACAAGAAAAAAGGGTTAGCAGGAATCATCATTTCTCTGCATCAGGTCAGACGAACCTTGTATACCATACTCCAGCCAAATCTCTCCACCAATAAACCTCCAAGTGCTGATCCAAGTCTGAAGAAAATTATGTACCGTCAAAATAAGATCTTGTAGCGAGAATTAAGGTGAGATATGGCTTACCCTGAACCTATCCCGTAGACAGCATAGTTCATCGACTGATAGTACCCCCGTTTCTCTACCCCGACTACATCCGTCAATAACACCGACCCTAGGACAGAAAATCAGCCCCGTCTCCTTGCCATTACTATAGTATTGGGAATCCGAGTACCCATGGTCATAACCCCTGCTGTACCTAGGCCAGAGACTGCACGCCCTAATATAAGACCAGCCCATAGATCTGTATTGGCGCATATAACTAGTCCACTAATAAAAAGTGTCGACGCAGTGAGATATGGTATCTTGCGGCCAAGATGGTCGGATACACGAGCATATAATGGTTGAAATGTCGTTGACATCAGAAGGAAGGCGTTCACGGGCCATGACGAGAGATTTGTTCTACTGAATGCCGATGCAACTGCCACATGCGATGATGCTGATAGACTAGAGTCTATAGCCGTGGACTAGATTCATATGAGGATTGAGGAGATTGACTGAACCAAACATGACCTACCAGGTTTGAGATGAGAATACCTGAGAAAATTTGTTAGCAAATGTTTGTGCTCGATTTTCATTCATGACAGACCTGCAACGAGTATGATTATGCGAGATTTGGATAGTTGTCGTTTGCTCACAGCTTCCTTTGGCTCTTCGTTGATAAGGGTACGTGACGCCTCGGTGCATCTGTCTTCATACATTTTCGTGATATTCCCTGAAAAGGGATGTATCGATATACATCAAAGTATTGACTTCAAAGTAAATGTCATTGACGATACTTACTGTTAGTGTGGGTGGCCCTGCATACTGGGGTATTGTTGTATGTTGTAAGGAGCATGCAGATCTTCCCAACAGGGTTAAGGCGGGAGATCCACCACCATATTACCCGTTCTCTTCCCCTCTTCCTCCTGCAACTCCAATGGCGCTCACTTCATATTTCTGCTATAATTGTAGGAATTCATATGGATTAAAAGCATCTCTGCGCAATTTCTCCTCCGCCCGGCGCAATCGAGACATCTTATGACCCCCGACAGCTCCGAAGCCCACGCCGGATGTTAAATATATCCGCCAAAATGCCGACCTCTACGCACAGAACTACGTAGATCGCAACTATACAGGCCACGCCGGGTATCCGTCGAACATTCAATAATTATAGAGGCTAGTGAGATCCAAAAGGCTCATCACGGGTCACATGACCCGCTATGATTGGTCATGTGACACCAGTACTAGACCATGCGGACCGCCGAGCACCATGTACGCTTGGGCGGCCGTACAAGCATGTATGCAGATACTAGTCAAAAGTATCTTCCCACTCCATTTGTCGGGTACAATCATCAAATATATATATCTGGTTTACACAGTCCTACACAACCATATAATTAATTTCAGTAAAAAATATACTAATTGATAACTGCACAATTGATTTCTCGCCTAATATTTTGTATAATATCCCCTACGCACGGGTAGTATGCAGATACGTCCTGTCTAATACAAACCATGCGATCCCTTCTAAATCATATCTGGTAGTATGTCGGTTTAACTATAAAGGGGTAGGGGCGAGCTCGGAGAGATATTAACGGGACCGTATAGGTCCTATAGGTCTTTTTTGGATAACTTGTAATGTGTCTTTAAGGTGGATGACTTTAAAATGTCTATTTGGATACTATGATTAAGTGGTTGCCCAGGTGAGGAGCCTTCCAAGGCTCTTGCCCAAGGTGGATTGGGCCTTTACCCTCACGGCTCACCTCGATTAGTCTTCTTCTCTCTATAGCCCAGCTCCATTCTTTTCTTTCTCTTTTGCCTTCCTATCGTCACTCCCCCCAAACTCGCTTTTTTGAAATCATCTCCGGTATATATATCTCTACCACCTCCCTCGAATATTTCTCGCCTTCCTATTCCATATTTTAAAGTCAAGTTACACCACACCTACCTTACTTGCTGAAGCAACTTTCTTTAATCTGCGTCTTTCATTTTCCTGTCCTTTGACTCCACCCCAATACCCCAGTTCGCTTCAGCAACCAACCTCCATTCCCCTCGAAACTCAGGGCAGGTACCAACGATTCCCTGTTTGTGAGGTCTAATTTGTCTTCTCTCAACGATCATTCCCCACCATCCCATCCAAGTAACGTTCATTTCGGAAAGGATCCAACGAAAAATCATGAAAACCGGAGCAAAACTATCAAATCTTCGGCCCGCGGGTGCCCCACCAAAACCAAGCTAACCCACCCGAAAGGTCATTACAATTGACAGTGAGATGGTCGAGTCTGAAAGCGATCGCCAACAAGCTTGCTTTCTTGGTAGTGGTGGAGTGGACATACTCACTGGAAAAGAACTAGTTAACGAGTTCGTCCACCCCACAAACATCGTTAGGAAATGGGACACACGATGGAGCGCGAACACTGCCAATATGACGCTTACCGTGGAGCAGTACCTTGACATTCGAGGATGGGAATTTGCCTGTGAACTGCTTTTCCCATGAAATTGTGGGCACGAAGTTGGGAATGAAAATCCAGGCCCGAAGACTATAACGACCAACGAATCGATTGGAGGATATAAGGTGCAATCTCTGAACGACGAAAAGGGAAGCATCTACTTTCTTATTCACGTTATCTGGAAAACGCGAGATTCACGACATGCAGGAGTCACCTTTGACTGCCTGGTCATACAATTTTTAAGGCATTCCAAACAAGACAGAAAAAATGGATTCTTGCTTGGTGTCTGGTCGAAACAGAGACGTCAACCAATGCCATCAAGACAAACCCGAGGTACTGGAAATCGGGAGAAAAGAAAGCACAGTTACTATCCAGCGCGACACAAAATCGAGGTTGACAAGC